CACTGGAAAATCTAAGAAAATGTACAGGTACAAATAAACCAAGCACGCAAGAGTACAATAAAATCAAAGTAGATGTCATTTGTATGCTAATTATTACCCTCTGATTTTGTCAGAGCAGGTGCCGAGCATTGTGACTCTTGTCATTAAGCTTGGCACTGAGGCTCGTTTTATGTGTCAGACTACAACAAGCAACCTGTTTAAACAGCGAATAGTCACCTCCCGCCCACACAGAGTGTCTCTTTTGATATCAGCGGACATCTATTTTAAAAGACACTTTATTCTTCAAAGGATGTTTACTCAGGTTGGCTAAGGAGGGGGTGTATTTATATGTGTGTGCGCACCCACACACGGGTAATGTGTGTCTCATGCTTCAATAGAGTCCCTACAAAGTAAAGGATTAGTGAGTGATTTCAGACCATTCCTAAGGCAAGACCAGGCCCATCCCACTTCAAAATCACACCTGGAATAAGACTACTTTCCCTGAGGATTGGTGAACTTCCTCAAACGTCCGCTCAACAGCAATGGTAGTGCATAACCAGAAACATCAGGGCCAAGGTTGGAGTCCCCTTCACGAACTCCGAGAAAATCACTCTGGCAAAGAACAGAGCCAGCATGGCTGAGATGTCTCCATGCGTGTTTCCAGTTGACAACATATCACAACTAGGTGCAATATTAGATCACGCTTTAAATAAAGTCCAGAACGACTAGGAAGCTGAGGAATAACTGGCATCCCCAATTTCCAGCCCAAAGACAGGCAGATATGTCATTCCTCTGGTGACAGCTCACTTTGGCCACGGATGAAACAGCTGGCTGAAATACTGTTAAGGTGACAGTGTAGAGAGGGGGGTTGTGGGTACAGAGAGTCAGGGGCGCCGCACATTTGTGCTCCTGTGACTGGTGAACGTCACCTCGGCAAAAACATCCAAATGGAAAAAATCAAGAGGTCAAAAATGTGCTCCAAGTCCATTCATCACTGTCACATGAAACTGTTTCGTATTTGTCAGTGTATTTCACAAGCGATAACAGGACTTGTACTAATGAATGCTTCATTGATTGATATTTCTAAGCAGTTTGGGAAAACTGTTAAAGTTTTCCAGGCCTAAAGCAAATACCTTTAAAATTGCTTTTTTAAATATAAGACTTTCTTCTCGTGATAGAAAAAAAAGGGTCCAAGGAAACCGGAGCCATTTATGCTTGAAAATTACAAAAATGACTAATCATTATAACAGTACATGATATCACAGTAAAGAGATTGGCACATATTAGTCGTGCTTCAAAGCAAAATCATAGAAATGTGGCCCAGCTTTAAAAAAAAGTGTGTTTTTACATTTGTCTCTCCTAATTTCTGCTGAAGAAAAACTGAAACCCTGTTTGGAGCGAGGGACCAGAACCTAGCAGATAAATGAATTCCAGCAATCTCCAGGAATCTGCCACTCTGTGCTGAAACCCCACCAAGTCAAACAGAAGTCATTCTTATGGACTGAGGTGAAGGGAAATCCAAACCCACACGTTCCCCTGACTCAAGTCTCTCAAGTCCAACAGCAGATGCATGGGAAGAACTCTACTCCACCAACAAGAGCACAGGGATGGGAAGATGAGGAGAAATGGGGAGAAAGAAGCAAGGAAAAACATGCACAGAACAAGCCAAGAGCAACATAATCATGCAGTTTCTCTCTCCATCAGCAACTTTTAACTTCACACTGTATATTAAGGAGGTGAAAGTGAGAGTACTGAATCCCCCCGTATAGCTCAGTTCAATACTTTGAGTGTTGCTTTATGAGATAGTCCTTTCTTCAAAAATAGAGTTCGGTTCTACCCAAGTATGTCAAAACCTTGCTTCAGCTTGAGCTGAGGTGAGTGCTAAGCAGATATCTCTCCCACGCACCACTGAACTGTGGGAAGACAACCATGCCTCATGAGGGTTGCTGTGAAAGGGGTGGGGATGATGACACAGCCTATCTCATCGCAGTAAAATGAAAATAAACGACTGAAAACCTGAGCTACAGCCAAATGGAAGGTCCCTCCAGACACGGTGCGTACAAAGCTGCAAGCTCAGAGTGGCTGAAACCCTGAGCCCACATGCTTTCTCTCGCTCTCTGTGGGACCTACTGCACACCCAGAGGAATGTGATGACATGAATGAAGAGGTGAGGGCCTCTTCCCACACTGAAGAAGCACCAAACATGGAGGAACATCCTCCTTTTCAAAGTGTGGCCATGTATGACACACTATTGTCAACAAGCAATCCGTGTAAAGTTTTGACACTAATGACCTCAACAGTTCAGATTCACCTTAATCGCACTGAGCAGAGGCATGTCACTATGTGTATTAACTGCCTCTTAAAACTTGATTGATGCTCATTTTGCTCTCACTGTTTTGCTGCTTGTCTTAGATCAACATAAGTTCAGAGCAGCAAAGTTTAGTCGGTTGGACGAATGCTAACAAGCAAACTTAGTCCAGGGGTTTGTATGAAAAGCAGTCGTTTTTTTGTGTGTGTGATGTGTTGCCCAACCACAGTGGAAAGAAAAAAAAAATTAAAGCTGTTCTAAACAACCACAATTGTAAGCGAGGGAAAAAACCTTCCCAGATTATCGAACTCTCAGGATTTAAATGGGACCTATTGTGCTCCATCTAGAGCTCCATATTTTTATTCTTGAACTTCGCTGGAAAACCAGTCCATGATTTATAGCACAGAAATTATCCTTACTTAGCTCATGATACAACCCCTCCATTCATTGTCAGGCTGAAACGAGCACTTTTGGCTCCATCCTCCTCAAAAGCTGCTTTTCTTTGAATTAGCAGCTCCTTGATGACCATATAAGTCATATCACTTCCTGTGTGTGTAAATAACACACATTCAGGATGAAAAGAGAAGTAGAAAACTACAATATGACTGTTGCACTTACCATATGGATTCCAGTTGAAAATAGACTGGTGGGCTTCACAGCCTGTTTCTGCTGCTCTATCTGGGTCTCAAGCTGGGCAGCGCGAACTTTGTGTTGAGCGAGTAAAAGGGTGGCAGGAAGCTGAGACTGCTCCTGGAGACACAAAACGTATATAGACTTTGTAAGTATTAATCTTAGTGTGTGAAATGTAACGCAGTAGTTCATTGAACATATCCCACCCATTGCTGGGTCACCATTGTGTGAATGGGTGGATGACTGGATATGTAAAGCGCTTTGGGGTCCTTAGGGACTAGTAAAGCGCTATATAAATACAGACCATTTACCATTACCATGAGCATGGGCTGCTTTCAGGCCAGCTGCCACAAAACTTTAGTAAGTCGTATTAGCAAAACTGTGCCGCTGTCAGGGGACGCCGCTTCAAGTGCACTGCGCCGTCTTCACCTCCATTAAATGCAAGGTCGGACGTTTCAATTTCTTCAGTGGAGTATTGCCAAGCGCATAGATCTAAGAACACAAGCCTGGACACATTGTTCACTGTAGAGGTAGGACATTTTTGATGGGGTGAACTATAAAGGTGGGACAGTCTAGAGCTTTTGGCGCTATTTATCAATATGTCAGTAACAGTTAAATCAGTTTCCATACTATGGGTCCTCTTCTGACCATAAGAACTGAATGGCAGACAACAAATGTGAATCCAGCGTAGAGTACATGTTGTATTAGAGAAGAACAATAATCTAGTGTGTTTCAACTTCCTACTGATGTGTTTTATTGATTAGTTAGCCACTCCGGGAAACGGCAACATGCAGTCTAAATGTATTTGTTGATGTAATGTATGTGAGTGTTCCCCCATAAGAATAGCAAGCCTAGTGGCCACAGGGCCGTACAGATGTCAGAGCTCAGGAGAGCTCCCCTGGGGGGGTGTGAGAGCTGATCTCATCTGCCTACAGTCAACAGGCCCTGTGCCTTAAACAAACAAACACACAGCTTAGCCAGCTATCTGTGATGGTCCTTCAGCAGCCCGCTCTGCCGGAACAATAACTTTCAAAGCCTGCAGCTCAACACAATGGAGCCGATAGGCTTTGGAATCACAGAATGAGAACAATGCAACCTGCAGCACAATGACTGGTAATAAGCTCTTAATGATCTCACATCCACGAACCCTAGAGCCGAGCGCATGCACATCTGACATGGAACATCTGTCATAATGTAACTCGCTAATTGCATCACTAGATTTGTCATTACACATGCACACGGCCATGCAACGTGTGCATCTCACCAGTTCGTCCAGCAGAGCCTGTTTGTTCTTCCTCTTGGCCTGTAGTTGCCTCTGCTCCTCCTGCAGCACCTCCAGTCGCCGCTGCTCATTGCTCTGCTGTTCCTGCAACAGAAGCTCCTCCAGCTCTTCCTGCTCCCGTGTCTGAGGAGGAGAGAGAGTCGGCAAGTTGGAAGAACCTGTCGCTTTATTGACCACGCGGCAGATTCTACACAAGCTGTAGCACCGCCCTGTTGCACTTGATTCTACACTTTGCCCTCTTAGACAAACAGAGAAGCTGGCTTTAAAATAAAAAAGGCCAGTGTTTATCTTAAATACAAGTGTCATTATTAGGTATTATCCTTTTATAAGGGGGGAAAACCTTCAAAAGTACATACAAGCTTGGCCTTATTTCTCTGGATGACATCTCTGTTCTCTCTCTGGTACTGCTCCATCCTCAGCTTGGTGTTCTCCACGTCAACGTTGTTTGTCAGGTTATACACTGTGTGCAAAAGAACAGCCACTGTTGAACATATCAATCCATCACAACTCACACTGTGGACAGAACCACTGTCTCCAAGTCCATAATACCGTTAATTAAACCCACTATCTAAATCCTCCAAATCATTTAAAACTGTACTCGAAATAACGACAAATTTATTCAACTGAAATGTTGAAATCAACATGCATGTGATATCTTAAACCCAGGGACGATGTAAAGACGAGCTGAGGAGAAATTATTCATCATGACATTTTCCCCCCCTCATTGGGCCGTCGAACCAGCAGATCGCACTTTAACTGGCCCACAAAAAACAAGCAAATTTGATTATTTTATGTTGCCAGATTAATCTATAACAATATATACTACAATTTATTAACACATATATATTTCATAATACAAATTAACATAATAAAGACCCACTTATATACATGCTGTAGGTGTTGCTGCTAGAAAGAGACAATTTACAAGAAATCTGCCAAATTTAATTATATAGAAGTTTATCTGCATACAGACAGCTTTCATTTTAGCTTCTGCTCAATTTAGCTCCACCCTCGCTGTGTAAAATAAACCAGCGGTGGATGGGAGAAGCATTTAAACTGTTTAAACCTGCAGTTTTCTAATGTGAAAATAAAAGTTGAGAAAAAAACCTCACAAGGTGACTGGACTGATGGAAACAGCATCACTGGCCCAAACGGTATATCTATTTATTTATTTTAAGAAATACTCCATCAGTTTTATTTGTCTGTTTTAGATGGATTTTTACACTGTTTTGCAGCTCTTCTAATACATCCAAGCTACAAGTTTACACTGACCTGCCAGTGAAGATGTGTGAACATTGCAAGTTCTGTTTCCTAATCTGTGGCCCCGGCTGACACTAATGCCTGTAAAACATCCTCTTGTGCAGCCAGAGTCAAGGAGAAATCATTAAACTAGTCTCAGCATGAAGCTCCAAGCTCCTACCTATGTCCTCCACTTGCTCCAGATAATCGTTATATTCTCTCAGGCTGGGGAAGTCAAAATCTCTCTTGTTGTAACTGCAGAGAAACAAGAGAAGTGGTGATGCAAAAAAGTAAAACCTGGTGAGAGCAAATATGCACCGACATTAATAGCTTCCATTAAATCAACCATTTTATAATACCATGTCTGTATCCTGCCTAATAGGCGCACATTAGATGTCAATTAGGAGCTATTAAAGAACAGATAACAGGGAAGAGAGAGGAGGCAGGGAGGGGCTGAGAAGTAAAAATCTGGCAGAGAAAGAGCCTTCCCGTTTGAGCACCCCCGGGGAGATGCATTGTCTACAAAACAAACAGTGTAATGAGAAAGACAAAAGGTAGCTTAAGAAGTGGGAGGAGGCATGGGATGACATATAAACACCAAGAACCACACCCCTCACCCTCACAGTCCCCCTCACTCACATCTTCAGCACTTTCTTACGAATCTCCACCTCCTTATCTACTGTCGGGTCCTCGAAGAGCTGCACGCGGAAGTTGCTCTTCCTCAAAGGCGTGTCGCACTGCACGCAGTTGCTCGAGCCGCGAACGAACAGCATCTCAACGCAGTTCTCGCATCTGCAACAAAAACAGGCATTAAACAGCAAGCTGAACTGCATTTTTTCCCCAGAGGTGACCCTCCTTGGGCACCTCTGAGAGTCAGTAGTAAGCGCGCTTGTGTGAGCGTATGTGGCAATTTCCCTCAGAATAAAGCAGATTTGTGTTTGTGTGGGTTTTTTAAATCTCTGTAAACCATCAGACACAATGGGTGATAATGGGGCACATGAATATTTCCTCTGAGTGCTCAAAGATGGCTGGGATTATGATTGGAATGTCGATTAGACTGCCTCCCCCTCTCAGAGAGGAGGAAATTAGCCCGACACCCCATCAGCGGAGCGTCTGTCTGCACTGGAAAAACATTTACTTTATTGTTATTTCAACAGGCCTCAGTCATTTAGCCACGTTGCATAATATGATCAAATCCAGCTTTGGACCGAGTCTTATGTAATTTGGGAAATGCATAGAGATGAACAACAGCAGTATCTTACTTAAGCTGAACTGTCATTTAAACTAAAGCTTTTAATAAATCTGAAATATTTTATACCTTTTTAAAAACGTATCCAAAAGTCATTCCAACCTTCCCCCACTTTCTTATTATTCCTGACATGGTGCCTAAATGAAAGGAGGCTGCAATGGAATAAACCACAATCTTAAACACCGTGGAAATCTAGGCTGTTACTGATCAAAGTATTTGCTATAAATCTGTTAAACGGCTACGTCTTTCCAAGGCAAAAATATGTAGCAGTACAGCAAAGTCATGATGAGTTTTTCAGGTGGCCTTTAGTTCCCCATATAAGCAACAATGAATCAGAGCGCTCCTCGGTAAAGAGCGTGCCTTTAAACAAAAGGAAGAAACTATTTCAGGTTTTAAAAAAAAGAAAAAAAGAAACACAGGCCAAAACAGGAACTTTGTGCACCCTCACTGGAAACGCCATGGTAACCAATCAGCAGACCTACCTGAGGGCACAATTCTGTGCTTAGCCATCAATCACACCTTTATGCAGGTAGGCGTTTACCCATCAGTCACACTCAAGTGAGTAGTGGACACCGAAGACAATGGGAATGTTCCTTTATCTCCCCTGATGGGGTGGAGAGCCTGGATAAACGTTTGCACAGTACACTCTTTTAATTAGGTCTCTGTGGAGCTTTATTTCAACAGGAATCCACCTTCCTGCTTGTGACCACCTCAAAAAAAGACATCTGGTTTCCAAATAGCACTATCTGCTTTTGAGCATTTACAGTTTTCATAATAAAGTATAACAAAGCTAAAGGGGGGGAAAAAACCCGACTTTTCACCACACGTCACTGATGGTATGGTTGAGTCATTTCTTCCCAAAAGTCAAACACTGGGCATGAGGCACTGGTGTCGAGTCAAAAGTTCTCCAGGGATGGAGCCTATTAGAACAATCATGACTGAGCCATCCTGCAAGACATTTCACTTCATCAGCAGGATTTAAAGCAGAAAAAAAAAGCAGTTAAAGGAGAAACTGCAGAGCCGTGGAGTTTGGCTGTTTATACCTAGCGTCTCACATAAGGGTCAAACAAGCCCAACCTGCAGAGTTGTGACACCAAAGCTTTCCAAGCAGCTATACAACAAACTGACGAAGCACCACGGAGGACTGTCTTACAAGCAGTTCAGCTTGGCTTACAAGAAGCAGCAATGTAAAAATGAAAGCTGAACGGCAGACAGAAACATCTGCGCCATCCAGTTGGTGCTTCGGAGTCTGAAGTGCAGCCTGGAAGAGGCAGATGTTCGCTGTGGCCTCAGGCTACAGGAGATCTATAGGCCTGGCCATATGGAGGTAGATTGAAGGATTCAGCTTGTTTCCACAGGCCCACAAAGAGCCCATTCATCAAAATGGGGCAAGGAGTGGGGTGTAGCTTGGCCCCCCGCCCCATAAATGGACCACACAACAGAACTCTCCAAAGGGGAAATCCTGTGTAACTCTAGAGCAAAGAGATGACCGTCTAAAAGGGAGGGAGGAGACTCTTAGAATCAATTTGCCAGCTTTGAGATTGTGAGCTTGTTTCATTTTGCGATCAAAGGAGGATCAAGATTTTTTTTTTTTTTTAGCCAATTCTACACTCAATTGCAAACATTTAAATGGACAGATCTTTAGCTACTTGCCATCTCTGAGTCTCAAGGCTGTTGTCGCTGACTGAGCACTCCTGACTCCTCCCTCTCTCACCTGTCCTGCTCGGAGCTCCAGGCTCCTATCTCTCCCATCTGCAGCTGTCAGCAGGTCAGGGAAAGGGGGTGGTAAGGGGAAGGTAAACAGGGCCCTGGCTCAGCAAAGAGACTCCTCTACCACCACTACCCCCACCATCTCTCAGTGACATTGCCTGCGTCTTTGCTGTGTCACTTTTGAATTAAAGTGCAAAAACAGAAAAGCAGGAGACAGCATGAGACGGAGCTTGTTTGCTTGTTACAGTGATCTCTATATTTTTGTTTCCATCTTAGACCAAGGGTCGATTCAAGACCAAGTAGAGATGGATTTGTGTAATGGCATTGTGTGAAATCTAAACAATCTGCAAAACCTGCAGCATCACAATCAGAAAATGCCAAAGACCAACACTATGACTGCTTAAACTAAAAGCTTGCCCCAACCGTATAGTTTATAGTACTTTAAAGAAAAGCCAAGAACATGTCTGAACTTCACACTGGACGCTTT